TCCGATCAGCATTTTATTTATAAAGAAATGTGGGATCCACCTGCCATACTCCTCTCTCACTCTTTCTCTCTCTTTTCCTCTCTCTCACTCTTCCTCTCTCTTTCTCGCCAGTCGACGGCAGGCGGGGGACGCGAAGCTGCGGCGGGGGCGGGGGACGAGGAGGCAGCGGCAGCCGTGGCCACGACGAGCAGCCACCCCTCGGCGCAGGGATGGATGGAGGTGGGTGCGGGCGGCGGCGCGGGATGCGGAGACGGAGAAGCGCACCGGCGGCGTGCTCCGCCTCCCCGTCATTGTCGGCGTCCTAGCGCCTGCGCCAGCCCTTCTACGCCGCCGACCTCCTCTCCGTGCCGCCGCCGAGCAGACCATCTTCTGCAACACCGTTGCCGCCCTGCTCACCATGCAGGAGGTCCGCAGCGGCAGCTCCACTTCTCCCTCCCGCCGATGACCCCGCTGCCGGACTCCGACTAGCTCATCCAGTCCGTCCAGCCGCCGCCACCGTCGTCGCCGCTCATCCCCACGTAGTCATCTTACTGTGTCACGGCAAATGCCAATATTGCGACGAGCTGCAACGTTGTCAAAAAAATTTATTGTCAACGCAAGGTGGAGCTATGCCTCTGCTCGCCATTGATGCTGTCGACGCGGTCGTGCGCAACCGATGGCGCCGACAGGCAGCAAAGTGCGCCCAAGATGCTGTGCGGTCCACCTGCAGCAAAATCAATTCATTCACTAGTGGCAAGAAAACTTTCTGTTCTGCAACTCATGCTCTCTGTGAATGTGCGAATTAAGTAGTAGAGTTGCTAGTGTCTTACGCTTGAACCCGTCGTTGCTGGCCTCGAGGTGGTTCGACACAGCGTCGCCGGTGACGCTGGCCTTGAGGAAGTACTCCTCCAACCAAGCCGTGACCTCCGCAAGGCTACGGCGCCTCACCACCATCCTCAGCTCCTCACCACCGCTGCCGCCGCCTTCTTCTCACGTGACTGACGGCACCTAGGGATGCAAGCGGGGTAGGCTAGCGGGCTTTTTTTTTCCCGCTTATCCCACTTCTACTTCATTTTTTCTTCTAAATTTTATACTATCATACGAGAAATAAACTAGCAAGCAGGTTTTTATACGGGTAGCGGGACAACCCACTTGCATCCCTAACGACACCCCCGCCCCGCCACCAACAAGATGATGATCATCAACAGTAGCGCCATCCTCCTCCTCCTGCGTGCGCCGACGCCGCTGATGCTCGATGGAGAGCAGGTCGGTGGCGTAGAAGGGCTGGCGCAGGACACCGGCGATGATGGGGAGGCGGAGCATGCCGCCGGTGTGCTTGTCCGTCTCCGCGTCCCGCACCACCGCCCGCACCCGCCTCCATCCATCCCCGCGCCGAGGGACGGCTACTCGTCGTGGCCGCGGCCGCCGCCGCCTTCTCGTCCCCCGCCGCCGCAGCTCCGTGTCCCCCGCCTGCCGCTGACCGGCAAGAAAGAGAGAGGAAGAGTGAGAGAGAGATAGGAGAGAGGAAAAGAGAGAGAGAAAGAGTGAGAGAGGAGTATGACAGGTGGGTCCCACATTTCTTTATAAATAAAATGCTTACTGAACCGCTGCCCATACGCCATGTAGGACAAAACCGCTCTGGATTGGGTCGATGGGGATAATTCGTCCGGTATTGATGTAAACGATGTCTGGTTTTCGAGTTTAGGGGGGTAATTCGGTCGACCACAATAGTTCGGGGCGGTAATTCGTACTTCTTTCAATTCCGCTAAAAATTTTGGTTTTAGGTACTCCAGCTATTCACCTCCTCCTTTGGTTGGCTTAATTCTTGCTATTTAATCCTACACAAACCTTTGTGTACTTGAACTTGAGTTGATCCGTTCGCTGTCATGATGAGTCGCCCCGACAAGCCTTCAGCAGGCTCACCGTAATCATAAGAATCCGCTATCCCCATAACTTCTTCCTCTTGACTCCAGCTACAACAGTGCTACACCATCTAACCTATCACCATAGTCATCTTACCGAAGCCGAATTGGACCCCTTCCCAACTGGCACATCATAGACTACCTGAAGAATACATGTTCACCTCCATCTATCGTCTTAAATTTGATTTAATCTAATTCATAGCCGAATAACAGATGGCATCACCAAATAGACAAATCAAACTCACCAGACATGAAGACCCTTACTTCCTTCCTTTTTATGAACCAAGCTAATAAATCCAACATCTACACTTCTCGCATGCTTAGACTGAATCCATGATACTTTAAAAATTTCACTGTCGCCTTAAATCGTGCGAATAAATTACGTGCATAGCAATTGCTCTGTAAGAACTCATGTTCACACTATAAGAACTTATCAAATTCAATTGAATTTTTGTAGGGATGGTTTATTACATAGAGAAACAAGTTTGTGTAATTTTTGAGCCACTTATATATCCGAGACCATGTACGGGTTACCCATACTAAATAGATGTGATAACCTAGTTTTAAGTTATAAGCCTATCGCCTAGTTTGAAACATATTATTTAATAATTATTACATCAGACTATCTATTTTTTATTATAGATATAAATTGTATATTTCTTAAAATGGATTTGATAAATAGCCTACAAGAACTATTATTATACAGCGCACAGCATGTTAGTTAGCCGCTCACCTGCTACCACTCCCCTCCTGATGTAAAAATAATAATTGTCGCCTCTTCCCTGAACATTGGCTCTGTACTCGTCCCGCTCGTATCCTTGCCACTCCCCAGCTCCTCCTATTCCCTCCAGTCTCCTGCTTCAGATGTGTAAATCATCCGTCCTAAACTTAACACCTAGAGGGGTTCTTTGAGGGACTAAGGCCTGTTTAGTTCACCAAAAAAAAAATTTTGGCCCATGGGTGTCGTATCGAACGTTTAACCGGATGTCGGAAGAAGTTTTCGGACATAAAAAAATCTCTCATTGTAGACTGTAGTCTTGGGTTAGGTGAAGCTGCAGAGCCCCATGTTTTTGGTTGGGATGATGTGGACTGTTACAGGTAGGAAGAGGAAGTTACTACCTCCGTCCCAAAATATAATAACTTTTGACTATGAATCTGGATACACAGTTGTCTAGATTCATAGCTAAAAATACTTATATTTTAGAACGGAGGTAGTAGTTCACAAAGTCACAATTTCACATCCACCGTAGCTATATATTTTAAGACTGAGAGAGTAAAAAGAATTACTCCTATTCACTCCACTCTCCTCACTCCCTCTCCTACTGACGTAAAAAGTTAACTCTTAGCTCTAGCAAAAAAAATATTATTGGTGCACCATTTTTTTACATTAAGGTGGTGTTTGAATCTTCTGAAGATAAAGATAAAGATTAAGTGTTTCACGCAAAACTAGGTGGTAATAACGTGTGTTTATTTGAGTTTTAATTATTACAAACTTGAAAAATGGATCAATCTGATATTTTAGAGCAACTTTCATATAAAAAGTTTTCACACGAAACATACCGTTTAGTAGTTTAAAAAGCGTGTCACGAGTATCCAAAATTTTATCCTCTGCTTACAGAGGAAACGAACAAGGCCTAAGAGGTCCGAGAATTTTTTTTTCCTATGAGAGCCTAGCAAGAGCACTTTATTATGAAGCTCCGTTGAGGTTGATTCCACGTCTTCGATGTTGAACCTAGCTTATAGCACACACCATGCAATTTAATCCAAGTCGTTGGCCTCAACCGTCAACTACATGGAAGTACCATGGTTACATTATGGCAACTCTCTCTCAGTTTTAAGGGTTGCCGCGTTATGGAGGTCAACTCTAACCCTACCCGTGTCATCGATAATAATTCTAAATCGAACTGTAACCTGTTAGAACTAATATATTCGACACCTGTTCTAATAGACCTGACAACTCCGGCAGCTGCCTAGGCTGGTAGGCAAACACATAATAAAATTTCGATGTTAGTGCAGCAATTTGAAGACATTCTTTTAAAGTAAATATTCAAGGTAGGTAGTTTTATTCGGCTCTAAAAATTTCCTGTATCCACCGTTGGTCCCAGCTTAGTGGAAAACACCATTATAATTGAGATGGGAGGTCATGAGAGAGTTGATCACATGCTATACATAACTATGAAGGTCCTCTTATAACTATGTCCAGGTCAATTGGCATGCCAGCATCAGTCACAGATTCATGTAGTATAACGGACAAAGGAATGCGGTACGATCTGAGAGGTCCATCTTCTTACTAGCACTGATCAAGATATGTGAGGTTATTTTCCATAACGATGGTGAATCAGCTGATCACATTTCTTATGCATAAAACTATGTGTGTGCACAATAAGAAAATGACCATTTATATGTGCACCTAAAAATGGCATTTCCATAGATCGAGAGAAGGAATTTTAGAGAGGGCCGACTAACACGCCACATTTCTGCTTATTGAATGACCTAAGACCAGTAAGACGTGGATTTCGGGCATAATTAAGGATGTCCTGTGGCCGTTACAGTGGTAACTAGTGGACAACTTGCCTGTTTGTTGAGAAGCCTTGATCATTAACTAGCACGCAGTATTAATTCCAGTTGACACAAAACTGTACATCCACACCGACGACTTGACTTGTATGTATGATTGCATGCCCAGGATTTTCACTTTCGATTTTCGCTTAATATTTGGGTAATTTCGATAGCACAAAAACTCCTGAAATTTAGGCAATTTTTGGACTGAAATTATTGAAAATTTTAGCACAACTTGACTGAATTTCAATAAATTTTGGGAAAATACACAAAAGTTTGAGAAAATGGAAAATTTCGGCCAAAAAAATGCCTTGCGGTGGGGGCAGAGGGTTCCGAATTTTTGAACCAAAAATACATTCACTGTGCATGTCCTGGAACTGATGGTTACAACCCGTCACAGATGAGGAAAGAGTTCGTGGTAGTGATGCCCTGGAACTGGTTACTATAAAACACAATGGAATGAACTGCACTTAATAACACACACCAAGCACCAAATCATAGCAATCAAGCAGCCCCAATCACTTGACCATGAATTCCCCCATGTGCACCTTCATCGTGGTCCTTACTTCCATCGTCTTCCTCATGGTCACCTCCAATGGCCAAGCACAAGCTCCCATTGGCTGCATCCCGCGCGAGAGGGACGCGCTGCTAGAGTTCAAGAACAGCATTACGGATGACCCGATGGGCCAGCTCAAGTTTTGGCGGCGAGGCGACGACTGTTGCCAGTGGCGAGGCATCCGGTGCAGCAACAGGACCGGCCATGTCATCAAGCTTCAACTTTGGAAGCCCAAGTTTGATGATGATGGCATGAGCCTCGTCGGAAACGGTATGGTAGGACTGATAAGTCCCTCTCTGCTTTCTTTGGAGCATCTGCAACATCTTGATCTCAGCTGGAACAACCTAAGTGGTTCAGATGGCCACATTCCAGGGTTCATAGGATCTTTTAGGAACTTGAGATATCTGAACCTCTCTGGCATGCCGTTCATCGGCGTGGTGCCGCCTCAGCTTGGTAACCTCTCAAAGCTGCAATTTCTTGACCTCTCATCTTGCATAGGGCTAGAAATGCAGTCAAGATCAGGCATGACATGGTTAAGGAACATACCTTTGCTACAGTATCTCAACCTTAATTCGGTAGACCTCAGCGCAGTTGATAATTGGCTTCATGTGATGAACCAGCTTCCTTCCTTAAGGGTTCTTAATCTCTCTAATTGCTCACTTCAAAGAGCAGACCAAAAGCTGACTCACCTTCACAATAACTTCACCCGGCTCGAGAGACTTGATCTCTCCGGGAACCAGTTTAATCATCCTGCTGCTTCTTGTTGGTTTTGGAACATTACAAGCCTCAAGGACCTCATACTTTCTGGGAACAGATTATATGGCCAACTCCCTGATGCACTGGCAGATATGACATCCCTCCAGGTCCTCGATTTTTCGATTAATCGTCCTGTACCTATCTCACCAATAGGTCTGCTTCCATCCAGCCAAGCACCCCCTTCCTCCGGTGACGATGATGCCGCCATCGAAGGCATCACTATCATGGCTGAGAACTTGAGAAATCTATGCAGTTTAGAAATCCTGGACCTCACACAGAGTCTCTCATCTGGAAACATAACTGAGTTAATTGATAATTTGGCGAAATGCCCGGCCAGCAAACTGCAGCAATTGATTTTGAAATACAACAATATCACAGGCATCCTGCCAATATCAATGGGAGTGTTTTCCAGTTTAGTATACCTTGACCTCTCACAAAACTATCTCACAGGACAACTGCCTTCTGAGATAGGCATGCTTAGAAATCTGACATGGATGGACTTAAGCTACAATGGCCTGGTTCATTTGCCTCCTGAGATAGGTATGCTCACAAATTTGGCCTATATCGACCTAGGCCACAACAACTTTTCTCATCTGCCTTCTGAGATAGGTATGCTCTCAAATCTAGGATATTTGGACCTAAGCTTCAACAACCTAGATGGAGTCATCACAGAGAAACACTTTGCGCATCTAGCAAGCTTGGAGTCGATATATTTGCCTTATAATTCCTTGGAGATTGTGGTTGATCCTGAATGGTTACCTCCCTTCAGACTAAAGTATGCATATTTTTATTGTTGTCAAATGGGCCCCATGTTTCCTAAATGGCTCCAAACACAAGTTGATATTATTGAACTTGACATAGCAAACACAAGTATAAAAGATACCTTTCCAGAATGGTTCTGGACAACAGTTTCAAAGGCCACATATTTGGACATCTCCAACAATCAAATCCGTGGTGGATTGCCAACAAATATGGAAACCATGTTGTTGGAGACATTTTATCTGGATTCAAACCTAATAACTGGTGAAATACCTGAATTGCCAATAAACCTCGAAACACTGGACATCTCCAACAATTACCTATCAGGACCTTTGCCATCCAACATTGGAGCTCCAAATCTTGCTCACCTGAATCTCTACTCCAATCAAATCAGTGGACATATTCCAGGATATTTATGCAACTTGGGAGCTTTGGAGGCCTTGGACCTAGGTAACAATCGTTTCGAGGGAGAACTTCCTCGATGTTTTGAGATGGGAGTAGGAAGCCTAAAATTTCTTCGATTAAGTAATAATAGATTATCTGGTAACTTCCCATCTTTTCTGCGCAAATGCAAAGAGCTACATTTCATCGATCTATCATGGAATAAATTATCAGGAATATTACCTAAATGGATTGGAGACTTGACTGAGTTACAAATTTTACGTCTGAGCCATAACTCATTCTCTGGCGATATTCCAAGAAGCATCACCAAACTTACAAACCTTCATCATTTAGATCTTGCAAGCAATAATATTTCAGGTGCTATACCAAATAGTTTGTCAAAAATACTAGCGATGATAGGACAACCATATGAAGGAGCTGATCAGACTCCTGCAGCATCAGGAGTAAACTATACTTCTCCTGTGGCCACAAAAGGGCAAGAGCGCCAATATAATGAGGAAAATGTGGAAGTGGTGAACATTGACTTGTCTTCCAATTTCTTGACCGGCGGAATTCCTGAAGACATAGTCTCTCTTGGTGGATTAGTAAATCTAAATCTATCAAGGAATCACTTGAGTGGACAAATTCCATATAAGATTGGGGCCATGAGAATGTTGGCATCGCTTGACCTATCAGAGAACAAGCTCTATGGCGAAATCCCAGCAAGCCTATCCAGTTTGACATTTCTAAGTTATTTGAACTTGTCATATAATAGTCTCACAGGAAGGATACCATCAGGGTCACAACTTGAGACCATCTACAATCAACACCCTGACATATACAATGGCAACAGTGGTCTCTGCGGGCCGCCACTTCAAAAGAATTGTTCGAGTAATAATGTACCAAAGCAAGGTCATATGGAAAGAACTGGACAAGGTTTCCACATAGAACCGTTCTTCTTTGGACTTGTAATGGGACTCATAGTTGGTTTATGGTTGGTTTTCTGTACACTATTGTTCAAGAAATCATGGAGGGTTGCCTACTTCCGCTTCTTCGATAAGATGTATGATAAAGCATACGTGCTTGTGGTCGTTGGTTGGGCAAGGCTGACCAGAAAGACTGCAACAATTTGAGGTTACTACCAAGAAGCTGATGTGGTTATAACATCTTGCACGGCGCATGGCATTTCTTTTCTGAATGAGATACTATAAGTATTATTTCAGTTTGTATCTCTACGAGAGGGGAGAAAACGAAGAATTCTAAGATGCCGATGTCTTTATTATGTTTTGCAGAGAGATGTCAACCATTGGTCTTCTTCGAACACATGAGCCTTTGTAGCATTTGTAAACTGCTTTCCTAATTTTTCCCACTGTAACATGTTCCACAAGCATGGTTAAAATCTTGAGTACTTGCCTACATAAGACTTATATAGTTAACTTATATATGTTGTCATCTTTTGGGGGAAATTATCAAGTTGGACAGCCAATGATTAATAGTAGCTTTAGCTGCTGATGGAGAAAGGGATTTCAAAGATTCAGGCACTTTTTGCTAATTTCAAATACTTCAGCATTTCACATGTATGCCCATAGATTTATTAATTAGCTTCCTTTTGGGAGATATTAATTAGCTTCCTCAGCTCGGTAGCCTTTCAAATCTCAAACACCTTGACCTCGGTTTCATATCGAATATGTGCACAACAGATATCTCATGGTTAACCCGTCTGCATAAGCTGGAGTACATTGACATGAGCTTTATAAATCTCAGCACAATAACTGATTGGCCTCTTGTGGTAAACATGATTCCATCCCTTAAGGTTCTCAGCCTGTACAATTGCTCACACACACACACATAAACCTCACAAAACTTGAGCACCTTGGTCTATCAAGGAACTACTTTGGCCATCCAATTGCTTCAAGTTGGTTTTGGAAAGTAAGAACCATAAAGGAACTTGGTCTTAGTGAAACCTATCTTCATGGTCCATTTCCTGATGCACTAGGGGGAATCACATCCCTCCAACAGCTAGATTTTACCAATAATGGTAATGCAGCCACAATGACAATAAACTTGAAAAACCTTTGTGAATTGGCAGCACTATGGCTTGATGGGAGTCTATCGTCTGGGAACATAACAGAGTTTGTGGAAAAGTTACCGCGATGTTCTAGTCCATTGAATATATTGAGTTTGCAAGGCAATAACATGACCGGAATGCTGCCGGATGTGATGGGGCACATAAACAACTTATCCATCCTTGATCTTTCTAACAACAGCATTAGTGGATCTATACCAAGGGGGATACAAAATCTGACTCAGTTGATTTCACTTACTCTTAGTTCTAACCAACTCACTGGACACATACCAGTGCTACCAACAAGCCTCACAAATTTCGACGTCGCCATGAACTTCTTGTCAGGAAATTTGCCGTCACAATTTGGCGCTCCATTTCTTAGAGTAATTATCCTATCGTACAATCGCATTACGGGTCAAATTCCGGGATCTATTTGCATGTTGCAAAACATTTTTATGTTGGATTTATCAAATAATTTTCTTGAGGGAGAACTTCCCCGCTGTTTTACAATGCCAAACTTATTTTTCTTACTCCTAAGTAACAACAGATTTTCTGGAGAGTTTCCATTATGCATCCAATACACATGGTCATTGGCTTTCATAGATCTTTCACGGAACAAGTTCTATGGAGCATTACCTGTGTGGATTGGAGACTTGGAGAATTTGCGATTTCTTCAGCTAAGTCACAACATGTTCCATGGAAATATTCCAGTAAATATAGCAAATCTTGGCAGTCTTCAATACTTGAATTTAGCAGCAAATAACATGTCAGGATCAATTCCTCGGACTTTGGTAAACTTAAAAGCAATGACACTACATCCGACGAGAATTGATGTTGGTTGGTACGAATCTTTAACGTATTATGTCCTACTCACAGATATTCTGTCGCTAGTGATGAAACATCAAGAACTTAACTATCATGCAGAAGGAAGTTTTGATCTGGTGGGCATTGACTTGTCACAAAACCAATTAACTGGTGGAATTCCAGATCAAGTAACTTGTCTCGATGGATTGGTGAATTTAAATTTATCATCGAATCACTTGAAAGGGAAAATTCCAGACAATGTCGGGGACATGAAATCAGTAGAATCACTTGATTTCTCAAGAAACAATCTTTCTGGTGAAATCCCACTGAGCTTATCCGACTTGACATATTTAAGCTCCTTGGATTTGTCACATAACAAATTTGTTGGAAGAATACCACGGGGAAGTCAACTTGACACCCTATATGCAAACAACCCATCCATGTATGATGGCAACAGTGGTCTATGTGGACCTCCTCTTCAAAGGAATTGTTCAAGCGTTAATGCACCAAAGCATGGGAAACAAAACATAAGTGTGGAGGATACTGAGGCTGTGATGTTCTTTTATTTTGGGCTTGTGTCAGGGTTTGTGATTGGTCTCTGGGTGGTGTTCTGCGCCATATAGTTCAAAAGATCATGGAGAGTTGCTTATTTCCACCAAGCCGACAACTTATACGACAAAGCGTATGTTTTTGCACTTGTTACTTGGGCCAGGTTAATTAGACAGGCAACTGCAAATTAAGCACTTCAAATCATATGCTTGTTCTGCTTCCTACAACTGACAGGTTTACTGGTATGAATGAATAAATGAAGGTGGAGAGGCACTCAAAAGAAAATGTCATTCTGTATACTTTTGTTTCCTGTGTTAGTGGTGTGACAGTCAATGTTGTCTGATAGTTGATTAATTTTCTGCCCACCACTAACCATATGTAATGTAGTCCACCATGTTATAATTTGTATCATCAGTTGTGGATGAGCTTGGTTAGTTCTTTGTCAGATTCATTGTGTTTGTGTTAATCGTTCTTACTTTCAGAGATTCCCTAAACTGTAAGGGGATTCTCAGCCATAGTAGTATATACCCGGGATCAATATTTTCAGAGAAAGCACCCCCACTCACCAAAATTTATCTGAATCATGATTTGGGTCCGGTTCATTCACCCATTCTTCAATTTAGCTGTCTAGTATCATCTCATTGCTTTACTGCACGCATATGCATATAATAGATTAATCTTACCGGAAACTAATTTTGTTTTCTTGAACTGACCAATCTCACCACAAAAGCAGAGCAAAACAGAGGACAAAACAGGGGATAAGAGGAAAGGAGGGGAGGTATCACCAGTTTGCTCCAAGAGGACAAGGCTTCTTCAGTTCTTCGCCGTCGCCGCCTGCATGCAGGAGCGGATTTGATCCCGCTCCGCATCCGGGGTAGGGTGGCGGCGCCATGCGCTCCACGATTCTCCTCGCCGAATCGAAGGCAACCACGCGGGAAGAGATGAGTTCCTCCTAAGTCAACACCGCGAGCGCCGCCGCCACCGCCGCCGTTCGCCACAACGCCGCCACCGCCGTTGCCCTCTCCTTCCCTTTTCTCCGTAACGGTAATAGGAGTATGAGATAAACCAAGGGCCTATATAAAAAAATCTCAATCTTTGCGCGGCTTCACAGCTGTTTTTACCTTGCATCTTTTTATTAAGTGACGATTTCAGAGCTGTTTTTAGCGCTCGATTAAGCTTCCTGTCTTGTAAAGTCAAACTGTATAGAATGTTTAAATTGGTGGGAGCAATAATGTAACAGCAAAATTGAATGGAGTAGTTATTATGTTAGTGCTCGTTGTTGCTGTACTGCTGATGTATATATAATGATTTTTATGTTGTTGCAAATATTAAACTTATGTGGAAAGATTGTTTTTCACTTTAGTTATCATTTTTTTAAAAATTCTGCTATAGAATTTTACTATATGTAGAAGAAATCTTACCCCAACATCTTAGTTGCGAACACAAAAGCTTTATATGAACACACCATGCACACCAACGAACAAATTTTTACTAAACCTTTAAAAAAAATGTACATGTACTTCAATAGTACTATACTTGTGTGTAAATTCTTAACCTTAATTAAATTCACTCTATTTTAGCCGTAATAAAAGAGATAAAAATTCTGACAGTTTTAAGACCTCTTAATTTGTTAGAATTTTGTCGTTTTGGTTAAATTAATTATAAGATCAGACGTTATCCTTATCCATCCATAAACGTAATCCATAGATGTAACACAATTTTTTCTTGAATTATTGGTAGAATTTTGTTAGCCGGTAAAAATACTTGTGTGTATAGGATATATTTCTTCCAAGTTGCAATCACTTGTGTCATTCCGACTGCCAAGGAGTACTGCCTATCTCCTAGAACATGTCTTACTGCTACCCCATCTTAAAATATAATTAATTTTTAAAGTGGACATGAGTACTAAGAAAATATGCAAAAAATAATTAATTGGAGGAGGTTGTGATGGTGATTTATAGAGACTGACTGTGACTGTCAAAAGATGATAGTATAGATAGTAATTTGAAGCGACTCGATCAACTGCAAAACAAGCAACATGCCCACGGAAGTCGCCGTTGATCTGGTCTATACTAATCACGAGCATAAAGTGGCAGTGTAGGTGGATGATATCTGGACTTCGAGAGTGGATATATATTTATCTTCTTTTTAATTATTTATATTAAATACATGAAACTATTATGTGAAGTTTGTCTCTCAAAGTTCTTCTCTAACTCTTAGCCTACCAGCACCAGTACGTGTGGTATTTAAATTCACACATACACATGATATGAAATGCAACTATAGCTAGACTAACGAGATTTTCTCCTACTCACTCCGTTTCAGATTATAAGATATTTTGATTTTGGTCAAAGTCAAACTATTTTCAACCCAAGACAAATTTAATATGAAAATATATTTAATTATTGATTTAATGAAACTAATTTAGTATTATAAACTTTAACCGTCTTATAACAAATGGACAGCTTGAGTATGTACACGCCGTTTATTAATTACTTGTGTTTGTTCTTTGATTTGCTTATCTTTTTAGTTATTGTAAATATTAAAACTTAATCGGTCCCTCCTTTAATTTATTTATTTACGACGTTGGCTAGTTCAGAACAACATATATAAATGGAGGGAGGAGTATATCATATATTATGCTTATTATATGGATTAAATTAAGGATGGAAAAAGTTAAAAATGTCTTACTATATAGAATATCTCAATTGTACAAAATTTTGGGAATAAATATAGTATGCAACATATATATTAAAACCAAGCAGTTTGCAAAACACCGAACTATATAGAAGTTACTACCTTCATTTTATATTATAAGTCATTTTTGTCTTTTTCTTTTTAAATTTCTTAAGTTTTGACCAACTTTATAGAAAAAAATAGTAATATTTTAAACGTAAAACAAAGAAACTATCAAAATATGTTTAATATTAGATCTAATAAAACTAATTTTATACCATAAATGTTACTATTTATTTCTATTAACTTGGTTATTCAACTTTCAAAAATTTTGACTTTAAAAATTATTATCCACCATCGCTACGGGGGAAGCCTTTTTATCCCGGTTTGCAACCCCCTTTACTCCTGAGTAGCAAATCGGGACCCCGAATCCGAGACTAAATTAAATAGGTATCTTTAGTCCTAGTTAAAATAATAGGACTAAAGATCCATTTTTAGCCCCGGTTGGTAACCTAAAAATGGTAACGCCATGTAGCACTACCATCTATTAAAGTTTTTTTTTTCCGTTGTTTTGTGCTTTGAGCACCAACGACGTCACCCCCCAAATCCCCACAAGTCATCCACAGCAAAATCATCTACAAATTCATAGGCCGATCCACAAATCATTCACAAAATCATCCACAAATCTAAAAAAATCTACAGATCATTCACAAAATCTTAAAAAAAAACCATAGCCGTGCGCCTCCGGACGGCCATTGCCGACATTGCCCCCAACACCGCTGCAGCCGCCGCCTCCCCTCCCATATCTAGTGGAGGGGAGGCCGCCAACCGCCGCCGCCGGGCCGCCGCCGCCTCGTGCACTGCCTTCCGCTGGGCCGCCGTCGCCTCATTTCCCGCCTCCCGCCGGAGAGGGGAAGGGGAGAAGGGAATGAGAAGGGAAAGGGATGAGGAGAGGAGATGGGAGGGAGGCGTGCATATGGAGTGAGGAAGAGGAGACGTGGAGTTTGCGTGGTTTAGTTCCAGAGATAAGATGAGGAGCTGAGGCCGGCGCGTGGTTGCCGTGCCAATCGAGGAGATAAGGATTGGGGATGCGCGAGATTTTTTTTTCCCGGTTGGTATAAACAACCGGGACTGAAGATAGTGAGGTCCCTGACGATTTTGGAACCGGGACTAAAAGTGATATTTACTAAAGATAAAAAAAATCGGTTAGGCTTTTTAATCGGGAAAAAAAAGTTTAGTCCTGTTTCAAACCGGTACTAATGTGGTTTTTGGTTAACCCAGTAAAGATGGTTTCTCCAGTAGTGCATAATGCTCGGCATTGATTCTCATCAAGCCCCTTCGGCTTTTAATACACAATTGATTAATGGAGCCATCTATTAACACCAGCCGATCCTGTAGGAGGGGAGAAGGCCAGCCAAACCACCGACGACTTGACCTAGCTTCTACACTGAAAGTCTGAAACGCTTATTAATGCCGAGCAACAACACATGCTTGCATCAAAGCCCCAGTAGCTAAGCTAACAGTAGTGTGAAGTAACATCACAGTATCGCACAGACACAGCAGCTAATCACTTGGCCGGCCGACCATGAGTACGGCCATTATCATCGTCTCCACCACCACCTCCTCCTCCTTCTTCTTCTTCCTCCTCCTCATGATCACTACCGGCGGCGGCTGCAAACCGCGGGAGAGAGACGCTCTGCTGGCGTTCAAGGAAGGCATCGTCAAGGATCCTGCAGGCCTCCTCTCCTCCTGGCAAAGAGGAGGCCACTATGATGATGATGATGATCAGCTGCTGGAAGAGGATTGTTGCCAATGGAGAGGCGTCCGGTGCAGCAACCTCACCGGCCATGTCGTCAAGCTCAACCTCCGAAACGATTACGCCGACGTTGGAACAGGTCTGGTTGGCGAGATAGGCCATTCTCTGATCTCGCTGGAGCATCTCAGGTACCTTGATCTCAGCATGAACAACCTGGCAGGTCCAACTGGACATGTCCCTGAGTTCTTGGGCTCTTTCAGAAGCTTGAGATATCTGAATCTATCTGGTATAGTGTTCTCCGGCATGGTGCCACCTCAGCTCGGTAAGCTTTCAAATCTGAAATTTCTCGACTTCTCCGGGATGTTGCCCTCCAGCATGGCTCCATTTCTGTACATTAGTGATGCTTCATGGTTAGCACACTTGTCCAATTTGCAATATCTGAACCTTAACGGGGTAAACCTTAGCACAGTACTCGATTGGCCTCATGTTCTGAATATGATCCCTTCTCTGAAGTTCCTTAGCCTTTCTTCTTGCTCACTTCAGAGTGCAAATCAGTATCCCACACAGATTAACCTCAGGCAACTTGAGATACTTGATCTTTCCAACAATTATGAACTTAGTGACCAAGCTGAATCTAGTTGGATTTGGAGCTTGACATCCCTCAAGTATCTCAATCTTAGTTCGACTAGTTTGTATGGTGAGATCCCACAAGCACTAGGAAACATGCTGTCCCTCCAAGTTCTTGATTTCTCGTACAACATGAGTGTTTCGAAGAAAGGTAACATGTGCATCATGAAGGCAAACTTGAAGAATCTGTGCAATTTGGAAGTTCTTGACCTTGATTATAGACTGGCATATGGAGAGATTTCAGAAATATTTGAGAGTTTACCACAGTGTTCACCCAACAAACTGAAGGAACTTCATTTGGCTAATAACAATTTGACTGGGAATTTACCAAAATTGGTAGGGAGGCTAACAAGCTTAGTCACTCTTGACCTCTTTAATAATAACATCACTGGACAAGTGCCTTCTGAGATAGGTATGCTCACAAATTTGACAAACTTGTACCTCCATTACAATTGCCTGGATGGTGTCATCACAGAGGAGCACTTTGCCAATCTAACGAGCTTGAAGTCGATATATTTGTGTTATAATTACTTGGAGATTGTAGTGGATCCTGAATGGTTACCTCCCTTCAGATTAGAGAAGGCATACTTTGCATCTACTTCGATGGGTCCCTCATTTCCCTCATGGCTTCAATCACAAGTCGATATTCTTGAACTTGCTATGAGCGATGCTGGAATAAATGATACATTTCCAGACTGGTTCTCTACAACATTTTCGAAGGCCACGTTTTTGGAGATGTCGCAGAATCAAATTGCTGGAGGCTTGCCAACAAATATGGAAAACATGTCATTGGAAAAATTATATTTGGACTGCAACCACATAGCTGATCGAATTCCTCGGATGCCGAGAAACCTTATGCTACTAGATATATCATATAACCTTATCAGTGGTGATGTTCCACAGTCTATTTGTGAATTGCAGAAATTAAATGGCCTTGACTTGTCCAATAATCTACTCGAGGGCGAGTTCCCTCAATGTTCTCTAATGAGCAGGGTATCATTTTTTCGTGCAAGTAACAATAGTTTTTCTGGCAACTTCCCATCTTTTTTACAGGGTTGGACAAAGTTAAGTTTCCTTGATCTGTCATGGAATAAATTCTCTGGGACTTTGCCTACATGGATTGGAAACTTTAACAAGCTAGAATTTCTGCAGCTTAAGCACAATATGTTCTCTGGAAGTATTCCTGACAGCATCACCAACCTTGGAAAGCTTTCTCATTTGGATCTAGCCAGCAATGGTTTATCAGGTCCCCTGCCTCAGCATTTGTCAAATTTAACAGGAATGATGATAAACCATGATACCACAAAATATGAAGAGAGACTATCTGGATGTGACTACAAATCTTTTGTGAACATGAAGGGACAGGAACTACAATACAACCAAGAAAAAGTAACAGTTGTGACAATTGACTTGTCTTCAAATTTTTTGACTGGTGTAATTCCTGAAGGCATAGTTTCTCTTGACGGAATTATAAATTTGAATTTGTCATGGAACAATTTGAATGGAAAAATTCCATACATGATTGGGGCCATCAAGTCATTGGAATCACTCGACCTCTCGAAGAACAATTTCTATGGTGAAATCCCACAAAGCCTATCTGATTTAACATATTTAAGTTATTTGAACCTATCTTATAACAATCTTACTGGAAGAGTACCATCAGGGACACAACTTTGTAGCCTCTATGACCAAAACCATCATCTGTATGACGGCAATGATGGTCTTTGTGGGCCACCTCTCCAAAAAAGTTGTTATAAGTATGATGCCTCAAAGCAAGGTTACCAGATCAGAAGCAAACAAGGTTTTCACATAGGGTCATTTTCCATTGGAGTTACAGTGGGATTTATGGCAGGCCTATGGGTGGTTTTCTATATTCTTTTGTTCAAGAAATCCTGGAGGATTGCTTACTTTTGCTTCTTGGACAATATGTATGATGAGGTTTATGTGAAGGTGATTGTTGTCTGGGCAAAGTTGACAGGAAGAACAGATGAAAGATTGCGAATGTCGCAGGTCGCATGGTCATCCATCGACTCTGACGAATACTATGAATAGACGAAGACAAAGAAGCTGGAGCAGGTCTACAACACTCTTAGTTGGGTTGTATATTTTGTCATAGATGGAACTTATTAGAACAAGTATCCTAAATGCATATGATGCATTGATCCACATTGATGTATATATTATTGTATCTGTTTGTACTAGAAGAGTTGTGTAGTGTCTCAGAAATGACCCTTCATACTGAACTCAGTTTAGCTCTGTTCTGAATTTTGTCAAACAGCTACAGTAACCTGACGAGGGATGAAAACAAAATAGGTATATTCATCAGCTTTTCTGCGCTAAAGCTACAGGTTTTGCGGTGCAAACTTCATCAGCTTTTCTGGGCTTATATTCTCCCTTAATTAATGTGCAAAATAAGCAAACTAAGTACATGCAAGAAGTAACTAGTATGTTGGTTTATCGCAACTTCGTCAGGCCTATGAGTTTTAGCAACTAAGTACATGCGAACATGCTACTAAATCGGAGCGAAATAAATTTAGTACATACAAGATCAGAACTCGAGTTGTCATAGTGCAGCCGTTCACTTTCCCCAGTAGTACTGACAAACTTTGACCTCAATAAGAACAATAGAATACCTAGATTCATGGTCCAAAAAAGATCTTCTATTTTCGTGACAAATCTAAAACAGATTAATGTGTCATGTAGAGATAGAAAACTGCAGCAATGTGACTAGTATGTTGGTTTGTTGCAAACGTAAACTCAAATAGTTTCCTAGGCTAAGTTCTGATCTGAAGACACCAATTTTGCAAAGTAGATAAACTACGTTTACTTACTTTGCAATGTCTCTGATGTAACCATTCTTATTGAAAGGTCTGGTTCATGGTTCGTTGACGCAAAGACTATGTTCGATCAAATTTAGATTACGCAATTTGCAAAGATTGATAGCTTGATTTGAAGAGACAAAAAGGCAAAGCAAATGTATTTAGGCATAAATATCATAACCTGACCAACATTAGTCACACGTACCCACACCAACATCCACATATATTTACGAACCAATTTTTATTAAATAAGTCATTTGCAAAGCCAATTGTTCATCACGAAATATTAATCATGATAATGATTTCAATGGAATTAATATGTCAAAACTTGTTTCTAAATTAAATTCTTTTAGTTCGCCGATGAAACTGGGAGATTTTTGTTATCAAGCTTCTAGCTAGTTACTCTATCCAGTTTCATAATTCCTTACGTTTTAGACAATGGCATGGTCTCCAAAATATATCTTTGACCTTGGTTTTTTTATTGTAACATATACAATAAATAAATGCATGTTTACTTTTATTATAGTACTTCGAAACATAAATTTATATATGTTGTTCTAGTTCCTTTAAACAAAATAATTTTAAAGTTACTGATAGTCAAAGTTACAAAAGTTTAACCTCAACATTGTCTAAAATGTCAAGAATTATGAAACCGAAGGGAGTAAACCCTTATGGATTTTTTTGAGGTAAACATCAAGAAGAAGGATAAGGTTTCTAATTATTAAGAAGAAAAAAGAGTTGGCCTTGTTTGAGGAAAACCAGGCCTGAAAACAACATAATCGCATTGTAAATTAAAGGAAAGAGTAAAGGGCACGAACAGTTCCTAAACTTGTACGGCCATGTCATCTAGATCCCCAAACTATCAAAATATATATTTAGATACCAGAACTCGACAAAATGTGTCATTCCGATCCCAAACTGTCACAGCCCTTCCAAGATCCTATATGGCACTGATGTGTCATGCCACATAAGCGCCAACGTGGTATCATCAATAACTCTACATTGACAAACGGAGCTTCGGCGTCTAAAAGAAGAAGAACAAAAAAGCAAATGAAAAGGGAAAGAAGAGAAAAATGAAAAATTTTGAATGGGCATCTGACTTTTTTTGTTGCCAAGCTAGCCCCACCATATAGGCAGCTCCGACTTCCTGCCCAACCATGGAACACAAACTTCCATGCGAAGCCTCCAAGGAGGAAACAAATATCAAGGATACTACCAACGCCCATCCGGATCACCGAACTAGGGTTTCACCTGAAAGAAGTGCAACCCACATATCGATGCCTCCGAGGAGGAAGACAACACCTACGGACATCAAAGTTGCAATCGCCAGTCACAACATAAATGCACAGCACCACAAAATCAACTGGCACCACTCAAAATTGTTTAGTGCTCCATGGTGCCTGGGCACCATGGTTGAAATTGAGTATATACCCAATTCAAATGAGTATAAAACTTTTTTAAATGTTTAGGTATTAACATTAAATATATATTGCATATCTATGGCCAACACAAACATCAAAACCTGATCATGTTACAAGTACGATGCTTATTTCCCCGTGCTTTGCGCTTCAATAGTTTACATACAACTGATTAATAACCATCAAACCTTATTCTCGAAGATCAAATTTCTCCACCAACCAGTGAACTATCCTCCGCATCCTTCTCAGATGACATAATTCATTTTTGGTTGATTTGTGAGAGGATGCCTTCGAGTGAACAGTTCACTTGTCTCATGGTAGGTCGATCCTCACCTCTTAATTCTATACATGATATGGCTAGTTGGGAAACCTCTTGGATTTCAGTGCCCCCTTCTTCTATAACTTGAGAATCTAGCATTTGGACCAAATTACCTACACTGTGTAAGTTGACAAAATCTGCAACAAGGCCATCACCTTCAGAGGACAAATATGGAAATAGTTTTCTCTAGGTGAGCAATTCCACTAGCATAACACCAAAGCTATAGACATCACTTTTATCATTGAGACGACCCGTGTAAAAGTACATAGGATCCAAATATCCTACAGTACCTTGAACTGCTGTTGTTAGTGCTGTTTTCTCGATTGGGATATACCTTGAAGCTCCAAAGTCCGATACCTTTGATGTCAGATTATCATCAAGAAGTATGTTACTGGACTTTATATCTCTATGGATTATTGGGATTGTAACTGATGAGTGAAGATAGGAAAGAGCATTTGCAATTTCGGCTGCGATCCTCAACCTATTGCTCCATGATAGCGACCTTGGACCCTCACCATGAAGATGGTGATACAGGGTTCCATTGGAAATAAATTCATAAACTAACAATGGAACTTCAGTCTCTAGACAACAGCCAATTAGTTTTACTACATTTTTATGGTTGATTTGTGAGAGGATGGCAACCTCATTTATGAAATCATCTATTTCTTTCGGGACCACTATATTTGATATCTTGATGGCTACCACATGTAGGTCTGATAGAATCCCTTTATAAACAGTGCCATGCCCTCCACCTCCAAGCTCACGAGCTTTGTCAAAGTTGTTAGTTGCCTTTTCAAGCTCATCTAATGTGATGATCATTCTTTCAGCAATATCTGCCCTTTGGGATACCAATTGTTTAAGCAGTTGTCCACGATTCAGAATGAAGAACTTTTGTCTTAGCTTTATTTTCCTCCTGTGCTTTATCCGTCTGGTAAGGAACATTGCAATGAGAACAATGCAAATAAAGCCTGTTGCGCTACCAACTCCTATACCAATGCTTAAACCTGAAAGTATATATATATATAGATATTTGTTTACCACTTTTAATAAAAAAAAGTTTCCCATGAAAATAGTTTGTTACTTCCCCAAACATGACTTGTGCAAAAATATTTTTCAAAAAAGCTAGTGAATATTATATATATACCTATGGTTGGAGTGCAGGGTATGATCTTGGGATCTTTGCTCTGAGTTCCAGATGGGCACGAACACGCATAGTTTCCAATCTTGTTACGACAGTTACCTTTGCAAGGATACAACCATGGATAATCGCACTCATTGATGTCTGTCCATCAAACGATGTTGGGCCAGGGAATTAAAAAGAAGTGGTGTCAATTTGTATGTTTCTAGTTGCAAGAAAAGGGGGCATGGAAATTTTTGGAGAGCATTCTCACCTTGGCAGCCTCCATGTAGGTAGGGATTTCCTTCATAACCTTGAGAGCAGTTGCAAAGGTACCCTGAGCGGCTAGGTCTGTCGATGCAAGAGCTGTTCGTAGCCTTGCACGCATAGGATAATGCGTTCCTTTTGGCTTCGTCACACGTTTCGTTACCAACAACCAAGTCGAGCACTAGAGGAACCCCGGTGCCCTTATTTCGATACTTTGAATAAAGTTCCATCGATTTGGCATATGAGGTCTTGAATTTGAACCAGTTCTGCTCCACGACGAAAGCGTAGACACACGGGACGCCGGAGTAGTTCACACCGCTTATTTTTAAGAATGAGGGCTGGAAAGCCTTGAGATTACCTGGGATGGAAGCCTGGCAGCAGCCCGTGTTGCCATTGCATTGCGTGCTATTATCTTCGACAATATTGCTATCGACATCATCACAGAATGATCGGCATCCGACCGTGTAATCAGGCTGGTTCTCTCCCTGACCAACGATGATCGCTGTGATACCACACCCGACTACTGCAAACTGGTTCTTGGTAGAGATTGTCAGATAGGGATAGTCATCTGCTAAGCCACCATCGTGCACTACCCATGGAATGCCGACGGCTTTACCGGTGAGGTTGACGCCGCAGCTTGTTGCTATGCGCTTCTGGATGAGAACCTCGCCCTGGGCCAGCTCGAATCGCAAGACCTTCAACTTCTTGTGCTCCTGGAGATAAACCGCATGGTCGTCTTCGCAGTAGACGCGGAAGGGTGGTCCCCGGAAGCAGCCATCTATGGTGCCAAAAGGATACGGCATGCTGACATTGCCGCACTTGTCTGGGCAGCCGGGCAACGCCGCGAAAGCTAGGCTGCTGGTGCTGGCAGCGGTATGCTTCAAGGTCAGGGTGGTCGACACCACAACTAGCAGTGATGATAATAACTTCTTTCCTGCAAGGCCGTAATTAACACAAGAAGCAGTGGTACATACTATTTTCTGAGAAAAAGATCACTACTACAAAAATGATTTTCGTAGAATTTTGGCTTTCTTTTCCACAATCGACCAAAAGGGAAAAAAAAAAGTAAACGCCTGCTAAAATGGTTTAGGCCACCTCAGGATAACAAACTGTGGCAGACCCAGGATTTATCCGATATCCAAGCTTGTCTACCCCAGATCACAATAGGCAGGACTAAAAGTAAGACATAAAACTAATCACACTATGACATAGAAGTAAAATACATTTTAAAATTGGGTTTACTCCTTTCAAGCCTATAGGAAAAGATATTTACATAATCATATATTAAATATGTTGATAAAAAAACAAAGTTAATACTAAGTAAATTTCATAACAAGAAGATAAAATTGCAATTACAAAAGGTAGTTTCATCTTTCGATTACCGTGTCTATATGTTAACGACCCATCAACACTATAGTTCTGAACATATTCATCGCAAGAAGTTCATTTGGAAATGTGGATCCACTCCCACATCAGATATCCAAATTTTAGTCAACCATAAAATCCTATGAATGTCCTAAGTTGGTCATCTTCTTATATATTCTCTCCCTAATTGCAAGTAAATTGAGTTGAAAGCATGCATCAATCTGCAAAAAAACTATATGAGGATAGAAATTGAGATTTGGTACTAGGGTCAGAGGCAGGACTGCATGAGAAGCAGGCTCGAGCAGCTCCTAGTCAGAATATTTCTAGGCCGGGTATAAATATGGCGAGGGTATACTGCTAATTGGACAAGACAACATTCTTAATATGACCTAGTAGTAAATGTTTGTGCGTTTGTGTTTGTTCTCTAAAATGTTGCCTGTACAAGTGAAAATAGACAAAGAAAACGATACCTGTAAGTAGTGGGCAAGCCATATCATATGCGCCGGATATGCGATTCGTTGGATTTTGCCGTCTCCGAGACCTCCGTGGGGAGCGCTAGCTACTCGGCAAGGTTATGTAGATTCTAGCAAAGCTACCGGTTGTTTCTGGATTATATTTGTCTCGTTGGGCAAGTCGACCTAATTAATTTCACTGCTCAGTGTGTGCTGATCGATCCGCTAATATATATATTGCAGCCTCTAATTAATTTCGTATGTGCCGTGTCTTCCATGGAATTCATCAGCAGCAACACATCACCATTTCACTGCGCCCGGGCGTCTTGTGTGTGGACGATGGACGGGGATCGTGTCGCTACGTACTCCAGAGTCGAGACGTTAATTCGGCGAGGATTGTTAATGCTGATCTTGTGTTACGTACGTATATGGACACGATTAGTCGGACCAACGTACGTGACTGTGAATTTAATTGACAATTCGGCACACACAGAGACTTTTAGAGCTTCGTACTCAGCAGGTATATGGGCGTGAGCGGCATCCCCGTCAATGCATACTCCCTCCGTATACTCCCTCCGTACTCGTAAAGAAAGTCATTTAGGACAATGTTTAAGTCAAACCTTAGGAATATAAATCATGAATAACTCTTAAGTTGTTAAGTTTGAAAATATAAAAATTATACGAATAGATTTGTCTTGAAAAATACTTTCATAAAAGTATACATATATCACTTTTCAATAAATATTTTTAAAGAAACAAAAAGTCAAAGTTGTATTTTGGAGACCGTGTCGCTGTCCAAAACGACTTCTTTCATGAGTACGGAGAGAGTATAGAGTAAATTATATGTACTGTACTGCACTTAAGGGTGCAAATAGGATGGGTCGTGGCTATCCGCGCTGCGTGTCCGTTCCATCGGTCATTTTTGGATTTGTCCTAAGTCAAACGCACGTTGCTCTTTTAAATTTGATCAAGTTCGTAAAAAAAAACATAATGTCTATGACACAAAATTAGTTTTATTAAATGGACCATTAACATATTTCCGTAGTATACTAATTTGTTTTGGTATACACCGGTTTTAAATGCGTCGGTCAAGCACAAGGAAATTTGACTTGGAACAAACCCAAGGTGATAGCACATTAGTTGTTGCTCGCCAGACCACACTCCTGCCCGCGTATATATCAAATAATATTGGGGTTTGGGTAAACCCATGAACCTGCCCAACAATTTCTGTACTATCTCTTGAGCTTTAAGCCTCCACCACATAGCATAAACTAAAGCTATATATGAATGTGAGAAATTAACTTTTAGATTAACTATTCATAAAGAGAGAAATCAGAAGATGAACAGCCATGCCATTCCTGATTCGGATTTCATCAGATGACAGCCAGAGGGGTCAAGGAACTGCAGCTTTGTAAGGTTGTTAAGTTGAGGAAGCACCGTGCCTGCCAACGAATATTTTGTGATAATAAATTTTAAAGTAAAGAATAAGAGGGTATTGATGCTAATAGCACAAAAAGTTTCTTATAAACACCAGGTGCTTCAATTGCATCCAGTTTGAAGAATTTGGCTGAACATAAGTACGTGCTAGCCAGATCTCTCACGAGTCACAACAGTGATATGCAAAGTCAAATTGATGTGTATACAGTGGCTAGTAGCTTCAGTTTCGCAGCAGTGACATGAACCGAGTTTAAAACTATAATATACTCTTAGTCATAACAACAGCATTGGATAATTCTGCCATGTTATGAGCCGTCTGATAGTGAGGCATGAAACATAGAATTGGTACCAGGCTTGCGATTATAACCGACAAAAAACAAACCTCCCACAACCTTTCCTGCTATTGGTGTGAAGTGTCTCCGCCTTTCCTCTGCCATTGTTGCCTAGCAGGTTGCCCTTGCCCATGTGGTTGTCTTCTTGAAGCATGAGATCGATGTCTCCTTCGATGACCTGAACTGCTGTTGTGCTTGGTGGTACCACCAGTGCTGTTTGTCTGGTTGAGTGGCTCCGTTCCTGAGGTTGAAGTTGTGGTGTCTTCACAAGAATCATCAACGGTGTCTCCTTCGGAAGCAGTAGGCGCGCTGGGAGGACGAGGGATGTACATTCCAGGCTGTATGGAAAGGTCTTTCTTTGGTTCAATCAGGCCATTTCGTTCTTGTTGTAGATTGAACAGCGATGCGAACTTTTCTTGACGGATCTTCTCTGACTCAGAATGAAGTACTTCTTTTTCATCTTCGTCCAGATCAATCGATAAAGATGCCTATAGGTGGAAGGGTAAATATCAATTATAGCTGTTTTCAGAGTACAATATCTCTGACAGGCTTTACTTGAAATATATAATGTGAACTGAAAAACGTACGAGGATGTAATTGTACTTTAAATAACTCTATAAAAGTTTGTGAGGAAAACCGAACACCAGTGATGATAGAAGATAATTGTGAACCAATGAATACGGTACAGGCATATCAAAACTGACAGTGCATGAAAAAGTTGAAAGCTGTTAACTTGTACTGATACATACCAGTTGAGAAGTATTTGCACCTAGCAGATCACGAACATGCTCAATATCCTTCTCATCAAACACTTTGCGGCAAACTGGACATAGTCCTTTGTGCTGACTTACATTGTGATGCTTAGCTGAGCTGGACAAATCCAATCCTTCAGAAGCATGAATAACTAGTAGCAGTAGTCAAGATTAACACTGATTAACACACCAACCAACAAAAATGTTAACTACATAAACGATCATATTTACATTGTCGATAATTGGTATACTGATGATATAAACTGCACTTGCATCCTTTAAAATATATGTTTAATGAAAAAAAATAAAATCAGCATAATGTCAAGCACTGATGCACACAAAAGCTTAAATTCATACTCTTAAGGTTCAAAAACAAAATACAAGATTGAAGCTCATTACTCTTAAGGGCAGAGGCTGGTCGATAAGGACTTCAGACGCTTTCATTTGTTAGGATGGAAATTTAGATGTGAAAGTCATCAAAGAACATAAGGCAATATCTATGTGAAACAATGGTAATCATGTTGCCAACATGAGGCTATTAAGAAAGTAAATTGACACCAGAAGTTTTAAACAGGTAAGCTGCTATTTTACTAGCTTCATTACGACAGCAAGTTTATACATGATTCTACCAGAATGTGACTATCCTTGTTTCCTTCGCACAGACTGGAACCTTGGGGAAATTAAAAAGGGACAGCATACAAGCATCTTTAACATAAATAACTGTCAATCAACCTAAATTATGTTTGTATTTGTAAGCATCTTTGACCCAAAAGTGCATGAAATAATTGTAGGCAGTTGAAAAGGATTAAAAAACACATTTTACAGAAGTGAAAAAAAAAAAGGCAAAATGAAATATTTCTAGCACCTTCAGTAGTTGCTGCTGTACTACTCTTCTTCGAGTCAGTATCATCATTCTGTAGCCATTCCCACCATCTCATAATGCAGTCACTGAAATTCCAAAATAATAAGACACTACTACAGAGTATTTCTTGCAATTGCACATATCAGTATGTGGCAGAAGTCAACCTGTGGAAGCAGTGGTAGCACGACATCAACTTCATAAATGGCAAAGCAGAACCATCATTCTCTTTGACTAAAGGATATAGACAAAGTGGGCAATCCCCAGCTGGATGATTCATATTTGAGAGCATCTCCACAGCTTCCTGCATGAGAAGTCAGATAGGTTTCATGTAAATCAAAATCCACCCTCTTAGACAGCAAACTGCTACAATGCATATGAGCATTTTTTTTGTTACAGAATTCCATAACACCTACAGATAAAGTGGATCTGATCGTGGTATGCAATAAATCCATAGTAGTGTCTTACAAAATTTTGAATTTCTGGAGTCATCTATAAGAATTTCTCAAACAGAGAAAAAAACCATCTAATACTTCCCAAAGACACTGTTATAGTTCGAATAGCAGCAGTCAGTGTCAATTGTTGGCACTATCCAATTTCCCTTCACTCCCAAATGAATGCCAATTAGACAATAATGTAAATTGAGTACCGCTTCTAAAAACTGCCATAGACTATGCAATTCACAGATAGTTTCAATTTACATGTAGTAAGTATGCATAATCCTCAAGACATTACTAGACGAAGCAAGTTTTGCTCTGTACTCTATAAGAAGACAATGAATGGAATAGTACCTCACACAGCGTCACAAGCATCGGGTAGCAGGAAAGTTCTCTTGCCTTGTTCTGGATGCTGCTAATAAGATACACCTGTCGATTCTCATCAAGGCCCTTACTTTCCACGGCATAAACATGAGGAGGTGCTTTTGGATACTGCAATTCGAAGAATAAAAAATCTAATGCATTAACACTGAGCTAGAACATAACCAGCTATAAAGTGCTCTAATCAAGGTGTGTAAGCAAAGGTGAATGACAGAAGCATACAGAATGGTGAAGGATAGTAAAGTTACAAACCAGCACCAGTCCTAATACAAATATTGAAATTGGAAAGGTTTGTAAGTTACAGCATAGAGTTGGTTGTGAAATTTAGGCTGGCCATGAATTAAAAAAAAAATGATTCACAAGTTGTCTGCTGGGTTGCTGCAAAAAGAGGTGCCTCTTGTCCTCCACAATAAATTTGTGTTGTTCCGAATTTATGATATCACAGATATTAGAGAGTTGCCTCAATGCAGTGAAACTGCATTACTGCTTCGAAGACATTACAATTGAGAGCCAGCCCAACAAAGAGCTATAATTTACATCATCCCAAAACAAAGTAAGTTTTCAATACAAGTTATAGGCATGTACCATGAAGAACTGCAGTTGTGTAAATGAATAAAGAGTGAGCCTAAGTGTACAAACTACAAAGACAGTTATGTCTTATGATTAACCTGTCATGTTCTTTAACATGATGGTCAGGTATATGTAAAAGTATTTCCATGTTCATAATGAATAACAATATAGGAACTCATGATCAACAGTGAGATAAAAACCGACAGGAGTTCTAAAAGACACAAACAAAACAAATAACCATATGTAAGAACCAGGTAAAAAGATATTTCAAGCCGATCAGTTAAACAAATTGTTTCCAACAACAAGTCACCATGAAAAATAAATGCATAGAACTGAATCTAGAAAGGAGGTAGAAGTTTGTAATTCATACCTGAGAAGATGCTTTAATTCCAAGAAATAGCTCCACGAACTGCAAAAGTGAAAATGGTCATTAGCAAATCTAAATGCATGATGATAAAACTCCTTCAACATAAGCAACTGAAATTAAGAGCAATATTGGCTTACAAAAATACATGGATCCCTTGAATAATGTAATCATACGTAAAACATGGAAAAGTTGATAATAAAGGACAATTATATCTTCTTTTCCACACTTCTGGTCACATGAAACACACTCAGGAAATGCGACAATTACAACCACCTCAAGGGTCACTGAGAGAGCATACCACCCAAGGACCTTTTAACTAACATGCTCAATCTTGCTCATGGTCATGTCGGCAGTTACTAGCTACCATTTTATTATGGACAGACCAAGGGATACCTATATGTTGGGAGGCAATGTGGAATGCCTCACTCTTGATCGGATGGAACAGAAAAGAAACAGTCTTGGTTACCACCAATTTATGTACCGTCCTTTGAAGTTGCCATTCCTTACACCACATTCCCACCTTCTTATTCCCTTCACCACCACACAATGCCCACTGCCTCCCCGAAGTACCCATCCTCCTCTCACATCTTTAATATCCCACTTACCCTTATCTCTCCCATTCTGCCTCCTTATCTAATATCCCCTTCACTGATCACCTTAACAGTGGTCTCCATCCCCAAAAAAATACCTGTACTCATAAATGAAAAGGTATGTTACCAAATTGACTCCTCTACTACTGAACTGAAGCGCCGCTCCGCCCCGATGGGCTCCAAGGAAAAGCCCCCCACAATTGATTCCTTCAAGGCCCAGAATTGATGCCTTCATCATGGGATAATCAATCAGTAACGCAATTGGTACTAGCCATACTACTCCCTCCATCCACAAAAGTTGCACATATTACTTTTGTCACCAAGACCAAGAAGAAATTAAATCATCTTGGATGTTACAAAATCAAGGAGTGAATGCAAGCATGCAACCAATGAGTATTTAGATGACTCCTTGGGCTCTCATCAAACATTTAATTTATCTCTTTATTTAAGTCTTAGATGCATAAAGACTACAAATAGGAACAACTTATTTGGAAAAAGTTAAATGTGAAATATATCTAACTTTTGTGGATGGAGGGAGTAATAAACTACATCAACCACGAAACACAAAGGCTCAGGTAACCACACTAATCCCCTCCTTCCTCCTCCTATCTGGGAGCTAGGGTTAGGAGGCAGCAGAGCACCGCCGCCACCGTCTCCGACCGACCGATCGACCGAATCCACGAACGGAACACCGAAATCGGGAGGGATCCGGATGCTGCGAAGCGGCTCGCCCGTGGAGCTAGGACGGCGAGCACTAACCTGCTGCGAGGAGTCGTCGGCGGTGCGGGGGCGGACGTGGACGACGAGGTGGGGAGGGAAGCCGCGCACCACGCGGCAGTCGTCGCCGTACACCGACGCCACCGCCTCCACCTCCTGCCGCACCTCCTCCTCCGCCTCCGCCGCCGCCGCCATTGCCTTCGGTGAAGATTTTCCTTTTTTCTTTTTCCTTTTTCTTTTTTTTTTCATCTTTTTACGTTTCAAGAGACAGAAGTGGCTAAGGAAGCCGCGTGATGACGGCGTGGGAGTTGGGCCTTTGGGCCGGCCCATTTCCGGCCATCTCGTACGGACGCGTGGCCGAAGTCAGTCCACATTGGTTTGGATCCAGGTTCTGGTACACGTGCCCATCGAACTACAGTATAATCTACCATATAGTTAAATAATCTACCATAAGTTGTTTGAGTCATTCATCATCTATTCTTTTACTCATTCATCATGTGATACGTCTGACGATCAAAAATCACCCAAGCATGAGATCCTTAATTACCCAGTACGAGATCATGCACGCGGGGTCACCGGCCAAAAATTACGCATGCCAGCAAATCAGTCGCCGCCCATTTTCCTTCACACGCCTTCCTCTGCAACCTTCCACTGAGTTCGCCTAGTTCGCCGCTCGCCATGGCCTTCCTAGGCCACTCCCATCGGCCTCCCGTCTCTTTGCACCCTCTCCCACCTTTGCCGCCACCGACGCCGCCGTGCGAGGGTGAGGGTGAGGGTGAGTTCGAGGTCAGGTCATAATGGCCCCTAGCCCGAGGCCATATGCTGTCATGTCTGCCGTTGCTTCCGACGTACTCCCTCCGTCCAAAAAAAGACAAACCCTGGGTTTGAATCTGGACATGCATCTCATGTGATGCATGTCCAGATTCAAACCCAGGGTTTGTCTTTTTTTTGTGACGGAGGGAGTAGTTGCGCGAGGTGTACAGCAGAAGGAGGCTACGCTTCGATCTGCTATTGGGCCATGACTGACGCCCAACTCGGAAGCTGCCTGGCACTAACGCGGGCACCCTCAACTCGCACTCCACCAATCGCCAACGCAAGCACGAGCAACCGTGAGAATTTCTTCAGGGCTGTTCAGTTCCTCAAAACTTTTTCCAAAAACATCATATCGAATCTTTGAACATATGTATGGAGCATTAAATATAGATAAAAAAAACTAATTACACAGTTTGCATGTAAATCGTGAGACGAATCTTTCAAGCGTAATTAGTCCATGATTAGCCATAAGTGCTACAGTAACCCATATGTACTAATGATGGATTAATTAGGCTCAAAAGATTTATCTCACGGTTTCCAGTCAAGTTATGAAATTAGTTTTTTCCATTCGTGTCCGAAAACCCCTTCCGACATCCGATCAAACATCCGATGTGACACCAAAAATTTTTATTTCACCAACTAAACAGCCCATTCTTTTTCCTTTTGCTATAGTCCTTCCCTTTGTGCGTGAGAGGAATGAATTAAAGATTCTATGTTTAACTGGTCTTCTTCAATCAAGGCATGACTTTTTTTGAGTTGGATTTGAAGGATATGGGGCATGGCATCGGGTCTGCGAGATTGATCGCCGCAAGACTGAGGGGCTGAGGCACAAGCAGAGGCCAAAATTTCTTCTTTTTTTTTTCCGTGAAGTACTTTCCTTGGTGTGCTGTGATGAGATGATTAAAGATCAAGTTTCTGCCTTAATTTCTCAATTGGAGCATGATTTTTCATGAGTTCCAATGTTTTAAGAATGGAACCAATAATGTTAGAATTTGCTTTATTTCAAACCTAGAAGAATGTGCGTTGCAGAGAAATCAAGAGGCCATGGTAGGAGACCTTGCCATATACTCTCTCCATCCCAAAATGTTTGACGCCGTTGACTTTTTAAAAAATATTTGACTGTTCGTCTTATTCAAAAAATTTAAGTAATTATTAATTCTTTTCGTATCATTTGATGTATTGTTAAATATACTTTCATGTATACATATAGTTTTACACATTTCATAAAAGTTTTTAAATAAGACGAACGGTCTAACATATTTAAAAAAGTCAACGGTGTCAAACATTTAGGGAAGGAGGGAGTATTTTTTTAGGAAGACCTTGCCATGTATATAGGTGAGGTATAGCATAATGTTCTATATTGATGCAACTTTAGGATAAGGGATATTTTACGTTCCTCTGATTCAGCTCATGCTGACAAGTTATGAGGAACACCTATGTCACGTCCGGAGTTTTCCTTTACTTAGGTTTCAAAATCACCAATAAATTATTAATGGAAATTACTTCGTTAATCATGAGGAAACCTTAATTATCAATGCATCTAATAACCGAAAAAGTCAGAGAGAATTTTTCCCGAATACTCTTTGCGTTTAAATCATTAACAGGATTTAAAGCAGAACGATCAGAGCAAAGGAAATAATAATCAGTAAGTTTAAAAGTGGCAAGAGTTGAATTAATAGTTTTCCCTCTCGGCCGGTTTTGGTCATGAACCATGCCCGGTTCATTCCCCTTTGTCCGTTCTCAGTTTTGTTTTGCATGACAAACCGAATCTCTTTTGTTTCCGGTACCGTTCATGTTCTTTTCCTAGAACGACACCGCTTTTCCTTTTCTATTTTGGAAATTCCCTCCAATCCTATTCCTACTCCGAATCCCTCTCCTCCTTTTCCCCCTTGCGCCAGCCTCCCCCTCCCCCACCAATTCGGTCCCCTCCCTCCCTGACCAAGTCCGACTCCCCCCTCTCCCCACTCTCCCCCCTAGCCGGCCCCACCTCATTTTCCCCTCTCCTATATAAGCCATCATATCCCCTCTTTTTTCCCACATAAATTTATTGGAGTCCTAGCCAAAACCTTAACCACCACCTTGCGCCGCCACCGCCCTAGCCGCCGCCGCTCCTATCGTCGTCGCCGCCGGTTGCAATCGCCGCTGTCGTCGCCCTCGCGTCGCCGGTGAGCTCCTCTTCAATTCTTTTGGTATGATTTTAACCATACATATTTTTTCAATCATCTAATCTACTCGGTTCTAGGTTTAATCCAGTCGTCATCGTCGTCATCCCGGAGGTTGCCGCCGTCGCCTCCATCGTTTTCCTCGCCGCCGTCGTCATTTTCCGGTGAGATGCCCCTGTCCTGTCTTTGTTTAGTGGTCGTTTTAGTTTCCTAACCCCTAACCCTAGTGTTAACGACCAAATTTGGTATTTTTCGCATCAACACCTAGCCGCTCTGTGCCGCCGTCGACGCCCAGTTGCCGCTGCCGCCGTCGGTTGTGCCGCCGCCACCGCCTTCTGTTGCCGCGCCGCCGCCGCCTTGCGCCGCCGCTGCCGCGTCTCGTAGCTGCCGCTGCCATGTGCCGAGCCGCCGCCACCGCCCTAGTTGTTTGCCATGTCGTTTAGCGACTGTGGTCTCGTTAAAATAGAGTTTTAGTTGCTGTTTAGCCTTTGTTACTAGCTTGGTAAGTGTGTTGTCGAAGCTTTAGTTCGTTCAGTCGTCAGAGTCGTTCTTTAGGTTTGGATGGTCCCGTGACACGATGAGTTGGCTCGTTGAGTCACTAACTCGTAAGGCTTGCTTACCAATGATCTAATTCCTTTGTTCCTATTTATCTATGGGCATTAATCTATGATAAATGACTAATGTTTTCCCGTTAATAGTAATTACGTAGCTCATATTGTAAAATTCATATCTAAATAATCCAAGCTCCGTTTTAATCCATTCAAATTGCAGTAAATTCGTTAAAATGTCAAGAATCCAATAAAATTGGTTTCTTTATTTGTTTCAGTAGGTTTATAGCTTATATTTATTATGTGCTTTGTTTGTCGATTAGAATTAGGCAGTTTCGAAGCCCCCGTTTATTTCGAAGTGGTCGCCGAGGTTCCATCAGTTGAAGAGTAAGCCAAGTCACACATATATCATTGATCATATTGAGCCTATTTTGCAAAATCCCTACTTTTCTATTAAATTGCATTGTTTTCGAATATCATGTGGGATTGGATAAACCGTACTCAGCCTTTTGATTACCCTGTACCTTTGATAACTTGGGTTATAATTTGACTAAATGATTGGTTTAGGAATGTTTAGCCATTCTTAGATCAATTAGCTCAGAATGAGATTCATGTTAATTTAGTCCTTAATTGTTTAATGATTATATGCCACCTTGGTGTATATTTAAATAAACTAAAATATGCAATAATAGTGGGTTGTGGGTGCATGGTTTTGCAAGTTGTGCCCATAACAATTAAGGACCGGTTCTTGGGAATCCCTAGAAGATATACCCATACTAATCACAAGCCAGCGTGTGGTCCAGGCTGAGTTTAGAGTATAACTCGAACTAGTCAACATATCATGGCAAGGGTAGAGGCGATGGTGCAGGACAGACTTGGATTTTTGGTCTCTGCTGCTTCCGAATTTACCTAGGCACGAGAGGGGACTGCCCGCTGCCTGTATAGGAGAGGGGGTGAAACCTAAGGTGGGTGTATTCATTAGGGAGAGTTATATGATGGGTTCTGTCACGACCTCTATTCGGGTACTTCGGTATCGCGACTCATGGTAGACACGATGTTGAGGCTGTGTCTTGTGAGTAAAATTGTACACCTCTGATCAAAGTAAAATTATTCGACCAGCTCGTCTTGATTAGTCTCACTTTATTAATAATTTGACTTAATGAACGGGTATAGTTCAGGTGATTTGGTTGTGCCTGTTTCAACGTGGATTTAGCGTTGTACAGTGATGTTTAATATTGCTCAATTAAATATATAATGTTTTACTGCTTTCATCTTATGATTTATAAATGCTGCTTTTACTACAAATATCCTATGAGCCACTCCTTTGAATATCTCTGCCTCAGTATGACTTGTTGAGTACGGTGGTTGGTACTCAGTCTTGCTTTATTTCTCACCCCTCCTCCCAAGAGGCAGAGAATGTTTTGAATGGTGAGTTCTATGAAGATTAGGCTTGTGCCGGACATCGAGGTTTTGCCTGTGGATTTGGAGGAAGCTACGCTTTGCTAAAAAGATTAAGTTTAGATGGTCTTTAGTTTTTCCGCTGATTTTCTGAGTTTATTTTATATTTTTGTAAGTTGTGGAACTATATCAAATTATCATCTGTGTACTCTGGCTGGTCCTGGACAGAGATTCAATATACATTCTGCTTGGAATTCGGGTTAGCGAATTTCTGAGCGTGACAACCAAACACCTCCCAAAGTAAATTGCTATTGGTGAGAAATTGTGTGTATTTTGGTGGTA